AACGTAACGACTAGAATAACTTACGTCGTCAACTACTCTCTCTCTCTCTATATATATATATATATATATATATATAGAAATTTCAAATGTGCACATGCAAGAGCAACAATGTTATAACACTTTCTTTTTCAAAACAGCTAAACACACAGCAGATGGTTTTAGAGTTTTAAGTCAAAAATTCTTCTCTTTGACCAATGACCTCAAAATCAATGCTCCTTTTAAACAAAAAAACCTTCCCAAGTGCTTAACTTAAACTATTCAATAATTAATCTTATTTTGCACATTCTGTATATACCTACTAAAACTATTAAAGTTATTTCAGATTTAAAAAAGAGCTCTCAACAAAAACAGTTCACAACTTTTAAATCATTTGAAAATTTAGAAACGTTTTTATCTAAAAAGCCAATTAAATCTTGAACATAAATAATGAGCAACAAAATCACTAAAACAGACTACTGAAGAATATCATCAATCTCAATTTTACAGTCAGAAAAATGGCCATTTATCATTACTCTTGACTTCCTATCACTAAACTAATTTTCTATCCGGTCCTTAACATTTCCATCAATGCTGCAAACCACCCAACTTACTAATTCAGGGTGACAACATTCTTTACAAAGAAAAATTGATCTGCACACACCTACATAAAACATTTATAGTTCATTTTTTTCTCATGATTCTATTTAATTAACATGACCTTAGCTTGTAATTAATGCTGTCAAACTACCAAACTGTTGGATAGTGTTGCAGTTTTACTTATAGGAGTTGGAAAGAACTAGAAATATATTGCTACTACACATTTCATTAAGAACATTGCTGTCCAGTATCAATACACCTGTGATACATGTATTTCAGTCATTTATTTTGGAAGATTCTGACTACAGAAGGCTACTATAACTTTGATTAACAAGACTGTTTCACTTGTTGGTGTCATGTGTTCTTTATACCCATTTAAGTCATATGGCATATTTAGGCTAAGTATTAGGAAATGAGATTAGCAAGACTGCAGATTCAAGTTGTTTGATTAGTTGGCAAGGTAATTAACACTTTAGACAGCCAGCTAGACTCACACCATCCTGCCTTTGCAGTGCAGTTTTACAAGTGTGGTAGTTAGAAATACTGTGTTCAAATTATGTTTATTGGAGGAAATAAATATAATACAAACTATATAAACTGCAATGTTCTTTACCACATTCCTCTTAATTTGTCTATAATTAATACAAATGTTAGACCTATTGACTTCTAATGCTTTGTCAGCTTTTAGCATTTAAACTGTAACTTTTAATAATAAAATACCTCTTATTTCAGTACAATGTGGTTATCAGACAATGGAGTATGTTTTTTCTTTTTATTCAGATGCTCATTGCCCAGGTACACCAGCTTCTGGTCAAATCAAGCAACTTTTAAGTTTGGTGAGTTAGTTAAAATAAAAACAGTTATAAAGTATTCAAAATGAGTTATGATATTACAAACATTGTAACTAACATCTTGTGAGGCATCTTAACAGACTTACTAAAAGTAAAAGTAAACAACCTAAACTAGGATGCTCTCATCCAAAAAGTAAAGGCCTTATCAAAAGGCTCTTAAGAAATCAGTAACACAAGAAAATCCTTTTCATAACTGTGATGAGAATCAATGGTTAAATGCTAACTTTCCAAATGCTTTTGAAGTGATATTTGAAAATATTTTAAACAATTTGCTAATAACATAAATCGTGTTCAATTTTCTAGGCCCTACCTAAAACATTTCAAACTGAAGTCAAATTGGCAATTTTCATATTATCAGGAATTTCTCCACTGGAAATATTATTCTGAAAAATAGTCACTAAAACTCCTCATTAGGGAGCCTTATTCTCAAAATGTTTAAGTTATTCAAAAACTGCTACTGCTTCAACACAAACAGAATTCAAGTACAAATTCTCACCATCCTAAACAAAATTTGTCAACTAGATCATTTCCTCACCTTCGTGTGTGTGTTATATATATATATATAACATGTGTAAAAGAAATTGCTTAGCACTACAGGTATGTTTTCTTTTTCCATATTAAGTTTCCTTCAAGTCTCTAAAATGGATCAATATTCTTCTTAGTTCTTCCCATGTGTAATTAATGTAAACATAAAAACCTTCACAATCCCTCTTAGCTTGAATAATAGCTTTCCTAAGTTCTTATTTGTTCCTATAAACCATGGTATTTTCTATTACACAAATAAATTTCATGTTCTTATAAGCCATGAATTTCTTAATTCCTTAGAAATTTAATTCTTCTTTTCATATGTATAGAAAATGTTTTTTAGATGTAAACATCTGACAGGAATACAGTACACTACACTTGCAGGTCCTGTTCATTTGAGAATACATCAGAAACGGATTTGGGGAAGACTGCACTATTTTAGGGATAAAATAGCAGATAAGAAGCAGAAACCATGGAAGCAAGACAGGAAATATGCTTAACTGTTGCTTTGGAGGATGATTAGAATTAGTGCCGGGCTTACAAGGGTGCAGAGTGGTAATAAAGTTTAGGCTAAAGGGGCAAGCTTGGAGAATATTAAAATATCAGCCTCTTATAGATTTGAACCTTTAACTGATTGCAATATGGAATAAGATGCTCAAGTTTGCATAGTGGAAACTGCCATTAAGTATATTGTGACAGTTGTTTATTGTGAGAAACATAAAAAGACTAGGACTAGAATTTGTTTACCCGATGCTAAAGAACAGAACATTAAGTGAGTTGACAACGTAGTTGCTGGTACCAAGAGAAGGAACATTTTTGTATAGTGCATTTGGGAGAAAATGATGTTGAAAATTGTAAATCAGAAGAGCTGCCTGAAAAATATAAAAACTTTTTTCAGAGATTCAGGGACAGAAATATATGTTTGACCTTTTCAGAAGTCCTTGCTCAGACTAGATACTCAAGAGGATCCTCGACTTAATGTATGCTTAGATCAATAAGTGGACTAAAACAGTTTTCAGGGTACGGAAAAGCTACGTACTAGAGATGGACTCCACTAAATTAGGTTAGGTATTATAATGTTTGGGGAAGCTCTAAAGATATTCATTAGAAATAGTTTAAACTTACTTAGTGGTAATAGAAATTGGGAATAAGCAAACTGATAGGATAGAATGAGAAGATTGGTAAAAACAGGTTTACAGAAAAAAAAGCTAAATAATAGTTTTAAAGATTTTGAAGTGTTTCAGATTTAAAGAAAAACAGGTTCAAAAACAAGCTCATATGCTAGTATTCTAATGTTAAGAGTATAAAGAACAAAATGATTTCAGGGCTCTAGCTGAAATGGAAAACTATGATATGAAAGGACTTACTTAAAGTTGGTTAGATTTGGAGAACACTGTCTATAGGAATTATTTTGGAATTTCAGGTGGAAAATTATTCAATAGAGATGGATTTTTTTAAAAGGAGACTGGATGGCTTGTTATATAATGGATGAACAACAGTCTTTTTGGACTGAAGGCATAAATATGGTAGTCAAAAGGTTGAATCTATACAAATTACAATCAGAAGTTTCGAATGTAAGTTTTTTAATTGGTAACTGTTATAGGTCACCTGATCAGACAGGCGAGATCAATGGGAAATTGTATAACAAGATCAAGGTTTTTACTAGTAAGAATACCGGTGCAATAATAATGGGAGTCTCATTTTAGACTGGTATTGTATGAAATCAACTAGCAAGGGAGGGAGGTTTCTTGAAGTGATTCTGGTTTGTTTTCTACACCAGCTGTCAAAAAGACAACCAGAGGGCACGCCATTTTAGATTTATTGTTTATCACTAATGAGGATATGGTTGTAAGAGTGGAAGTACAAGAATATTTTGGGAAGTGATAATTTCCTAATTAAGTTTGATGTTTTGCTACCTGTTGAGATGACAAAAAACTAATTTTTTAGTTCATTATTTTCAAAAAAGGCCATGGAACAAAAGTGAATTAGGAAAACAAGTTATAAGGTGATGCAAGACAGACTTAAGAAGGTTTTTTTGATAAACTGCTGTATAGGCATGTTCCTAAAATGAGGAAGAGGATAACAGGAAAGACATACAGAAAATCAGGAATTAATGTTACAGTTTAAGAAGTTTAAATTGACAGGTAAGAGGGAAAATTTACAGAACTATAGAAAGACTAAAGAATTGATTAAAAAGACATTAGGAAATTCAAGAGTACTCATGAGAAACAGCTGACTGATAACATTCAAATTAACAGCAATGATTTTTTAAGTACATTAAAGTTAAACAGAATGTTAGAGTGGAGACTTGGCCATTAAAGGATACTTTTACACAAAAAAATGCCAGCAACAATTCAGAATCTGATCTTTCTATGGGAAATGAAACTGACCTGAATCATGAAGACAATCTCTTGACGGTAAGTAGAAAGAGACAGATTAAACATAAAGTACCAGTACTCAGGATTTGCCCCAGTTTTAGAAGAGGTCAAAGAACAAAGTGCAAGTATCTCTCTTTCATTCATGGTAGGTAAACAGTAGCTAAACAGTGAAGTAGCACAGTCATTAATCTCAGATGTCAAGTTACTCTAAAATTACACTGTCATTGGTTTTCACTGGTAATAAGACCTCGTTAAGAAAGATCATATTAAGTTTTGTATACTCTGTTGTCAAGTTCTTCAAGAAACTTTAAGCCTACAAGTTGTAGTATAACAGTGTATGAAGCAAATCACTGTTGACTTGTGTAAGCAAATTATACATTCCATTCTTTCTTTAATGTTGCTTTCATTAACATTATTAGTTTGAATGTTTAATATATCTAGTTATATTTTTATTATAAAATTATTTTGGATTTTTAGTTGAATCTCATGAGATATTATTGGCATTATGGCTAAAAATACTGTTACCACCAACTGATGAAACAATGCACTTTAATCATTATAAGAGTAAAGTATAAAGAGCATATACATATATATATTAATTATACTTATTACTGGATTGATCTTTAGTTCTATATATACATATTGTTGCGTCAGCGAGGTCACGTAACTAGTATCACGCCACGTTCTTCTCTCGAACCTTCGTGAATTATCGGGAGACTACTAGATTGGGGGTAGTCTGGTATATTAAGATGGTCACAACGTAACAAGGTAATGAGTAATTGAACTGCAGTCAGAGAGTGTGTAATTGAACTCGAGCACGTGAGACGTTTGTTATAGCACGACTGTTGAAATTAAGTGTATCAGTAAAGTTGTATTCGGAAAGAATAAACC